TCTACATATTTTTTTATATTTTCGTATTCAGTTTTCAAATACGTGATGTCCAAGAATGCGGTTAGCTCCCATCTTGTAGTTACAATTTTTATAGGTCCTTGATTTTCAAAGTAAATTCCCGATTGCTGTGGTAGCTGTTCATCGCTGAACTGTTGTATTTGTCCGGTTACACATACCAGTAGAATTATTGTGAGAAATCTATAATACAATTAATTTATTGTTATTCATTATTTCGTCGTTTTTTTTTTTTTTTTTTTTTTTTTTATTATTATTGGAAATTACTATTTTAAAATTAATCTGTTTCAAAATATCTCTTTACCATATTTTTATGTATACGGTAATCCTTTCTCCCTTTTTTTATCGTTATATTTTCATTGTCATGGGTCATCGTAATCTCATATGGACCTAACCAGTTTTGTCCCAGAGTATTTTTCTTATTTTGATTTTTCATCAAGACTTTATCCCCTACATGCAAATCTTGTTCATTGCTTCTTTTATCGTAGTATTTTTTGTTGTCATTTTTTTTTTTGATTAAATTATCGCGGGCTACTTTGTGTGCCTCCTGCATTACTCGCTTCAGATCATAAATATAATTCTCATAATTATACTGTGCTTCTGGTTTTTGATGAAAACTAGATGGAATCTGTGGCTTCCTACCGAAAACTAGTTCATATGGTGTATAATCTGTAGATGTATGGATTGTCGTGTTGTAACAGAACATTGCATAGCATATTAATCGGTCCCAGTTGTTGTCTTTATCTACAAAGTTTCGTAGATATGTTTTTAAAGTTTTGTGAGATCTTTCTAAAAACCCGTTAGTCTGCGGATGCCATGGGGTAGTTTTTGATTTTTTTATCCCCAAAAGTTTGCACATTTTCTTAAAAACATCTGATAAAAAATTCGTTCCGCAATCCGTTAATACCGATATCGGGATGCCATAATTGCATATAAAGCATTCGACAAACGCCTGAGCTACTGTTTCTGCATCGGTAGTTCTTAAGGCTACCGCGATGGCATAACGTGTTAATTCGTCCTGCATAGTAAGTATGTACAGGTTGTCTGATGAAGTTTTTGGCAGTGGACCCACAATATCTAAACAGATACGTTCAAAAGGTTTTGTGACGGTAGTAGTGATTAGCATTGGTTGTCTCATCGTCCTGTTCGTCTTATTTTTTTGGCATAGTTCACAATTTTGTATGTAATTTTTTACATCTTTTTTTAAGTTTTTCCACTGATATTGTGAGTTCATTCTTTTGATTGTACGTGATACTCCCGAATGTCCTCCGATTGGTGTGTCGTGAAATTCATAAATAATTTTCTTTTTTTCTGTTTCCGAAAATTGTTGTTCTTTAAAAATTTTTACAGTAATTCCTGAATTTTTGAATTTATATCTAAACATAGCTCGAACCCGTTGGAAACCGCTTAATGTCGTCAGTCCTTCCAGTCGAGTCGTTGAAAAATTTTTTATTCCGTCTTCCTCACAGTTTTTTTTTATGTTGGAAATTGCAGATAATATGTTTTCAGGAGTTAGTTCGCTTAAATGCGTTGGCTTAATTTTGAAAAATATTATGTTTCTCCCATCTTTATTATATTTAATAAATTTATTATTTATGTCGTTCCTTTCTGACAAATCTATTTGATTCCTATCAATAATGTCCCTAATGGCTGTTTGGGTAATAATTAAATTCTCTGGTATAGGTAATATTAAGTTATCAGTCGGATCTGCATTTTTAATACTACCCTCAATTTCAAGTATTTGTGAATAAAATATCGGCTTTTCTTCAGCTTTTATGAATAATTCGTAGTCATTGCTACCAGTGTCTGCATCTTTAACCACGTGTATCCGAGACAGACAGTCTGCGTTTGTGTTTAATGTCCCGGCTCGATATTTTATTTCATAATCATATTCCTCTAACTGGAGTCGCCATCTCATTAATTGAGATGAACAGTCTTTAAGGTTGAACAAGTAAGTTAAAGGTCGATGGTCCGTTATAATTGTGAACCTTCGCCCATAAAGATAAGGTCTGAAATGCTTAACGGCCCATACGATTGCCAGCAATTCTTTCTGGATGACACTATAATTATTTTCGGCCTTATTTAAAGTCCTACTTGCGTATGCAATAGGTTTATCTTCGTTCGGTTCTCCTTGGGAGAGTATTGCCCCTATTGCATACTGACTGGCATCTGTGGTTAAGTTGAATTGTCCTTGTTCCCATTTCGGATAAATCAATAACGGTGGGCTTGTTAGTACTTTCTTTAGTTCCTCGAATGCATTCTCACATAGGTCATCCCATATAAATGGTGTATCCTTTTTCAATAAGTTTGTTAAAGGTTTGGCTATTTTTGCAAAATTTTTTACGAACCTCCTGTAGTAGTTTAACAATCCTAGAAAGGATTTTATGTTTTTCGCATTTTTCAATTTAGGGTAATTTTGGATACATTTTATTTTGTTTGGGTCCGGTGATACTCCGTTTTCATTTATGATATGCCCCAAATATAGTACTTCTTTTCTTAGAAATGCACATTTACTTGGTTGCAATTGTAGTTTGTGCATCCGTAGTCGATCGAAAACTTTTCCTAATTTATTTTGATGGTCGCGTAAACTCGATCCATGTACTACGATGTCGTCCAGGTATGCGGTACATAATTCTTCCAACCCTGTTAAAACGGATTTCATTGCTCTTGAAAAGGTCGCGGGCGCTGAACTCAATCCAAACGGCATTCGTAGAAACTCGTAGTGTCCGGATTTGGTTGAGAACGCTGTCTTATGTGTGTCCCCACTGTTTATACTTATTTGATGATAACCGCTTGCCAAATCCAACGTGGAGAAGTATTTAGACGATCCAAGGGATTCTAGTATTTCTACTAAGTTAGGTAATCCGTATGCTTCGTTTTCAGTTACCTCGTTTAACTTCCTGAAATCGACGCATACCCGTAATTTCTCTTGTCCGTCGGTACCCGGTTTTTTTTTAACTACCACTAGTGGAAAATTAAAAGGTGAAATTGAATTTTTTATGATGTTGCTTTTTTTCATATCACTGATCTGTTTCTCGATTTCCTCTTGATACGCCCACGGTAGTCTGTATGGTCGAATGTTAATAGGTTTTACGCAGCGTGGCGTGTTTATATAATGCTTAACCACGTCTGTTGTGTTTAGACAATCACCTTCTAAAAAAAACACATCCGAATACTTATTGCATAAATCTATAATACTGTCACGTTCCTCGATGTTTAGGTCATCAGTTTTGATAGCTTTATTTAGTAATTGAATACGATTCGTTGTGCCCTTGACATGCTTTGTGTTCTGCGTTTGCTCGTCACGATCGCTATTAATGAAATATACGTGATCGGAGTACGGTTCCCATTGTAAATTTTCGGTGGACAACTCGTCGATCACGAACGGTTGCTCCGAGATATTAATTATATTACTTACGATTTTATTTCCGTGCACGGGACTGAGGCTATTGGCAGTTATCACGTCTTCATTTATTTCTTGTTTTTGAATTGTAATAACTTCATGGCCTACTGCTTCCTCTGCGTTTATTGTTACAATACAGTTGCTCCGTGGTGGTATTATAATACTTTGGTCATTTTTGATCGAGTAAGGAATCCTTAGTAACTTATTTTCAAAATCTATGTGCATTGATCCCCGTTCCAAAAATTCATAACCTAATAAACCGTCCTGGCTTATTGGAAAATCGTCGAATATTATATCGAATCGAATTAAAAATTCTCGTCCTTCGATGCTAATAATCATATCGACAGTTCCTATGGTTTCTACTGGAAGTGAATTTATGCCTTTTAGATCCCCTTTGTTCTGTTCATTTATTATTAACTGTCCTTGTAACTTTGATATCTTAATAAGATTTTTGTTGGCACCCGTATCTATTAGAAAAGTTTGTTGATTATCGGTAAAATGGGTGGAGGCGCAGCTAATGGTTGGACCGTTTAGTGGACATAATGTTTCTCCCCTCTCCAATTTCTCTAAGTTATGGTTGCGTTGGGGTGGAACTATTTCCGAATCCCCTGCGATTACGCGAATATTATTGTTACTTTTATATTCGTCTACGGACCGGTTCCCTTGCGCTTCATTAGAACTATTTCCTTGTTTCCTTTTTTGTTCATTGTAAATTCGTTTTCTACATTCGCTTATGTCGTGGTTTGGTTTTTTACAATATTTGCACACCTTAATGTTCCCGGTATTTTCTTGTTTAACCTCAGTTTTAAAATCACGATCATAAGTTGGGTTACGATAATTTGGTACTTTATGTGTGCTCGTACGGCATTCATTCGCGTAGTGCCCTATTTTTTCACAACGATTGCATTTAATATTTTTTTTCCTCGTATCCCTATAGTTATTTGTTGACGGTGGTTGTTCGGAATAAAACGATTTTTCCTCTTCGATGGCTATAAAAACCGCCTCCTCAAGGCGAGTTACCTGTCGAGCTTTTAGGATAATTCGAATGGAATATGATACTCCCGAGATAAACACGTTTAATGCGTGTCCTTGTATCGTTTTAGCAATAATAGCTGCTTCCTCTGCAGTTTTATTCATAGTTGAGACATGCGTAAGCTCATTGTAAGCTTTTTCGATTCTCCCGGAAAAACTAGCAATAGATTCATTTCTATTCTGTCTTATAGAATTTAATTGATTTTGCAGAAATGTGGCTGAATGTGATGCGCCAAAAATAGTTCGAAAATGACTCTTAAGTTCCTCCCATGAAGTTATTTCCCTATATCTAACGGCTTCAAAAGCTTTCCCTTTTAATTCGGATAAAATTCCTTTTAATATTTTAGGTTTGTTAGCGTCTATTACGTTTTCTAATAAAAATTCGCATTTTTGTTCGAATGATTTTAGCTCAGATTCACTACCCCCCTCGAAGCTTGGGATAGATTTTACGGCGCTACCTAGACTAATTGTATCTGCGATTGCCATTTTTATTCTTAAATTTTCTGGGTTATAGTCAATTATTTTCCAATCTACACTCGGACTTGACGTCATGCAATCAATATATAATTCAAGTAACTTACAATTGTTGCGTGTACATTTGTGCTGGCGTGATGGAAGACCTCTGGAAATTCGCCACGATAGCTTGATTGGAACAAACTGTTCGTGTGACCAAGTTCACCTGGAATTTGGGTTTGATGTTGGTCGAGAAAAAAAAAACTCGGCAGCTGGTCCGTCGGTGGGCCTCAAGTCGTTGGAATTTGACCTGATGGTTGAAACAGCACCCCACACCTGACACCAAATTTGTAGTGCACAGCCCTGCCACTGCTGTGAACAACGTTTCTTTTACGACGGTGCAGCTCCGTTGTTTACGACCGATGGTTGAAAGGAAAAGGTTATTTTAAATAATATAATACAACACTTTGAATTTCGTTAAAGAATGGTATAATAATATTGATTAGTAAAATAATAAAAATTAAATTAGTTATTTGATTAAAAGCATGGACACGACGACAATAAACACTCCGTAGGAGTCCGCGTGTCCGTAGTGAGTACTTACAGTAATAACTTAAGTCTAAATTACATTGCATAAAACACCTATATTTATATAAACATTCAATGTCATATTTAAGGCTACGTGCTTTTGAATAAGGAATAAATAGTGCTACGTGATACATGATTAAGGAAAGAGTCGTTAAAGAGTTGACCAATACTATTAATACGTGAGCATTTTCGTTAGTAGGTAACAAGGTAACGAAAGTGCGAACACTTAGAATATCAATGAATACGTGTCACCTTGAGGTTTACTACAGGAGTGTTGACTCATGATTGACCCTGATATTAATATCCAGTTTTCGGGCCCCAGGTTTGTGAATTCAAAGTCCACGACGGCATACCTTGTTTGTCTAAAATAAAATTTAAATATCATTTTATGATTTACACAATCCGAGAAACAGAAAAAAAATGAAGAGGTAATAAAAAAAAAAATAAGCATTGTTAATTACTAGGCGTCATTTGTTTAGAAAAATATAAGTCGTGTATAGTCGAATATGTCCGTTGGATCCTCTGCACTGTCTATGTAACTTTTCAAGTACAGGCACAACGGTTTATTAAGTGGTCTTTGTGCCTTAGTCATGTCATGCGAAAAGTGATTTATTGTTCTAGTAATATTTAATATCTCCTCTGGTGAGTAAGGTTGAAGTAAGTTTTTGTTCGCTATATCGATGTGTATTAACAAACAATTTGGTATTTCGTCGGGATATAAAGCAGTAAGGTTATGTTGTTGACGTCCTATTACAGTACTAAGTTCTTTCAGAAAGTTATGTTGTTTCATTCTAAAACCAAAAAAAAAAATAATAATAAGAGAAGAAATAGAAAGTATAAAAATAGAACTATATAGTTTTTATTGACTGGTATTCTGTTCATTGTCGTAATACCGTTTTACATTGTTTTTGTGAATGCGGTATTCGCGTCTACCTTTTTGTATGGTTATATTTTCATTGTCGTGAACCAATAGTACGTCATAAGGTCCCTGTCAATTTAAACTTAGTGCGTTTTTCTTATTATGTTCTTTAATAAGTACCTTGTCACCTACATGTAATTCTATTTTGTTTAAAGTTTTATCGTAATATGCTTTGTTCGTCTCTTTTTTCTTGATTAGATTTTCACTAGCTAACTTATGTGCTTCTTGCATCATACGTTTAAGATCGAATACATAATTATCGTAATTGTATTGAGGTTCTGGGTCCTTATTAAAAGCTGATGGAATATTAGGTTTGGTTCCGAAAACAAGTTCGTAAGGCGTAAAGTTTGTTGATGTATGAACTTTTGTATTATAACAGAAAATGGCATAGCATAAAAGTTTATCCCAATTACTGTCCTTATCAACGAAACTGCGTAAGTATGTTTTTAATGTTTTGTGACTGCGTTCTAGAAACCCATTTGTTTGTGGATGCCATGCTGTTGTTTGTACCTTTTTAATCTCTAATAGTTTACACATACTTTTGAAAATGTCGGATAAAAAATTGGTTCCACAATCCGTTAAGATTGATTTTGGAATTCCGTAAGTGCACACGTAACATTCGACAAATGCTTGAGCTACGGTAGGTGCGTCAGTTGAGGACAGTGCTATGGCTAACGCGTAACGAGATAGCTCGTCTTGAAGTGTTAGTATGTACATGTTTCCCATTAAAGTCTGAGGTAATGGCCCTACAATTTCTAGACAAATTCGTTCAAAAGGTTTTACTACTGTACTGGTAATCATCATAGGTTCTTTTGTCTTATTATGAGGTTTATTCTTTTGACATAGTTCACAATTTTTAATATATCTTTTTACGTCTTTTTTAATGTTACGCCAGTTATGGTTTAATCTAAGTCGTTTGACGGTTCGGGATACTCCTGTGTGACCTCCTAGAGGTGAATTATGATGTTCGTATATTATTTGTTGTTTCTCCTCCTCAGTATATTGTCTACCACTATATATTTTAACTATAATATTTGTATTTTTTAAAATGTACCTAAACATCTTTCTGATTCGTACGTAACTGGTTAAAGAGGAGTGTCCGTCTAATTTAATTGTTGAAAAGGCGTTTATGTTGTTATTTATACAATATGTCTTAATGTCTTTTATTGCTTGATATACGCCCTCTGGTTCGAGAGGCGTGTTATGTGATTTTAACATATTATAAAAAATGATGAACGGCAGTGTATCCGTGACTACGTTTTCATCCGTGTGTAATAAGCCTGGGTGCTTGGTACCTACTATCGTAGTACTGACAGTAGATAAGTGGCAACCAAGTTATTATTAGATCAGGTCGCAGACACTTTATTTGATGTTGTAGTCGTGGTAGACAATGAATGATAAGACAGATGTAATGTATTGTGAATTTTTATTATAATGTTCGATAATTTTTCTAAGTCCAAATAATATTCTACAGAGTGGCGTGAAGGTGCTTGCACTAATGGGTGGTAGTACACGTCTGAATACAGGCCGATTCGGGCTCCCTTATATATGAGGTTCCCCGTACCCCTTGCCTACATATGCGATATCTCCGTTCTCACGGATGTCACTCGTATAGTCATCATTCTAGCCCACGCATTGACGATTGAATATTTATCCGATTGAATGTATTACTAACTTGTGTTTAGTCATTTTACTCTTTAATATTTTAAATTCATCGTATGCGTCCAGTATTTCTGTCAAAAATGACGAATGACTATTTCAGCCCTCTCGTCATGAGTTATTCAGTGAGCCTGATCTCCATAGGTTTGAAGGACCCATTTCCTTCTTAATACCCGACTATGCCGGTCTACCGTTTATTATAATATTTATGCACCTGTGGAATCTGATTTTATTATTACTGTCAAATGTTACTACGCCTAATTCTGAATCCCAACTCATCGTATATTATAATAATAACTATGTGCTTATGAAATTGGTATTACTCCGTAGTAACTGGCTTACTACATCTCCCCCTTTAAAAGTTGATTTTTATCGTCTAAAATGAGAAAAATTAACTCAGTCATCCCTCCATTAGTTCAAGCACTTCCATGTGGTTACAAGTTACATATATAAATTATTTCATTACATTCAATTATTACATGTTTACATAATATGTTTGTTACAGATATTTAGTTACATTTTTGAATTATATGGTACATTACACCATACTTTTCTGGTTATATTTTATTAAATGTTATTGACAATTACAAATTATATTTTACAATATTACAGTATATATTTTACTTATTATCTAGGTTAGTATATTATGTGATTAACAATATATTTTTTTTTTCGTTTTTGTTTTACAACAATAATCTTATCTTAGTGTTAATATAGTATAAATTAATCCTTTAATATAATATGAATTCTTAAAATCTATTACAATATATTTTTTTTTCTCGTGCAATATATATATATGATAAAATAGTGGTGTACTGGTGTGTTATATATTTTTTCCATTACCATGTTAATTATATTTAAATAAATTAGATTAATATATTTCTTTTCCCATCACCATGTTAATTAAGTCCAATATAATATGCTAGTATGTTCCTTTATGTATTTGTATATTATTCTATAAAAATTTAATCCTAAATTTTCCTTTTTTTTTTTTCATTTTTTTTTTTTCATCATTTTTTTTTCTACGCTTACGTTTGTTCCTATATATATATTTTCCATTAATCGTTATATTATTATATTTTATATCTAGTTAATATTACTATTCCTATACTGTGATTTGATTATATCTTTTTACTACAGGTCCAGACCAAGCAATTAACTATTGTATTTAAGTTCCATTACATGATCGAGACAAGTACTAAATTGATTTTATTCTATTCTATTTGGTATGTGTTTTTATCTTGCTAATCGAACCCGTGACGTTAGAGTGTGCTGAAAATCGAAGCACCCTCTTCCGACACAGGCTAAATTAACAAGACCTTGTCCTTGTAACTTCTTATTGAGTTTTATTGGCCATTTGATCCGTTGGTGTTTCCGTTAAAAAATCCGTTATACACACGATTTTCGAACCAACCACCAAACGATCAAACTCCAATATTTTCCTTAAGTTGTCAAACCGTTCGGTATATAATAGCGCAACATTTATCTATTCCCAATAATAATAGATTAAATATGTCCCTATTATGTACCGCTCGATTTCTAGTCGTATTTTTTTTTTTTTTTTTCCGTTTTTATTCTGAAATTAATTTATTTTAGATTACTATTTTAGCTCTAATTTAATTATTTACTAGTATCTATCGTTACTTCCTGTTCTTTTATTTACTTTAATGTGTTAATTAAGCTATTTGTTAGTTGCCATAATACAAATTAAAATTCGTTAAAAATTTACATTTCACAACGTCGATCTATGTACGTGGTATTGTTTATAATGGTTGGAATTGCTTTACTAAATTTTGATACCCATATTCCCTAACCATTTTGTTGAATATACACTTTGTAAATCTTACATCGGTTTTTGGATCGTGAGCATACGTTATTTTGTGCTTATTTGTACATATGCCGCTATGTGCTTCCGTTAAATTTAATAGCCTACCATTCTTTTGGATTCTACCTACTCTAAATTCGAAAATTCTTTCTGTTATCTTTCCCCTTAATTTTTCCAATATCATGTAAAAGTCCCCATCGAAATTTAAATCATAGCATCTAATATTTAGTATTTGTATATCTCCTAACCCTAATCTATTTAGGATATTCCTATCGTATGATCCCCCAAACAATACCACTACATTTATCTTATTTCCATGCAAAATATAATTTCTTATGAATTCTGGTGT